TTTGAAATTTAATAATTTCAATTATAACTCGTTATTTTTAAATATTTTAATAATATTCTTTGAAAATTCAACTATCTGAAACCATTTTTCAAATTTTCAAAATTGAAATGATTTTCAAATTATTGTATTTTGTCCGCATTTTCTAATAAATTTTTAGTGAAATCATCTAAAATTTTAATTACAAAACACTTAAAGTTTCAATTAATTTCAAAAATCTCAATTTTAAATCTTTGAAAATTCAATTAAATTTAAAAAATGTTTTCCAAAAATTGTTTGATAAAATATTTTTAGTTCTGTAAAATTTAATAATTGTTTGAAAATTAACAATATCTTTTGAAATTTAATTATTTCTAAAAATTTCAACTTTAACCCTTCGAAAAGGATTATTATTAAAAAAAAAATTTTTTATTTAAAAATCTGTAAAATATTTTTGTTAAAATAAAAAACAAATCCACTTTTTTTTGGAATATAAATCGACTAAAACGACTTTTTTTGTGTCTTTAAGTTGATTCGAGGCCTGTGTTTTTATAATTAATATTTAATAGGTATTCGTTGGCCCCTGGTACCTTAAAAATTAATTTTTAAAATTAAATTTTTTTCAAATTACTATCTTGTACGAAATTTCCTGGCTCATCTTTTTTCTCATCATAAATTTTTTGTATTTGTATACAATTTTTGAATCAATATATAACTTTAAAAAAAATTTCGTTGGTAAACGAATTTTCGAATTTGGAATTTTAAAGAAACTTATTCCGAAATTTGGAAACACAATTATACAACTTTGACAAAAATGAGAAAAAGAATTGTCAAAATTTGACACTTCATAAGATTACTATTCAAAAAAACACGTGAAATCAGAAAAGGCCAACTTCAAGTTAGGACAGAAGGACAGACCAAGCATTTTATTATTATATAATTAATAATTAATAATTAAATATTTTATTTGAATAATTTTTAATTAAACATATAATTAATAAAATAAAAGCCCTCTTAATAAATTATAAAAAAAAAATGAAATTTAAAATATTCTTTTTGGAGATATAAGAATTTTTATATGCCAGAAGTAATTTTCCTAAGTTTTCTGAATTTAGTATCACGAATCTTGATGTAGGTATAATTTAAACAGTTGTAAATTGTATTAACCCTTTTTGCATTTACTAAGAAGTGAATTTCCTCCACTTATTTAAATTCTCACGCGATTTTGTATTAGCCCTATATGAAGAAGAAAGTTTAAGTTCCATCTAGGACGCGAAGAGAGGGTTAAAGGGATAATAAAACGCGCAGCGGCAGAATTCATTTTCCCCTTTCTCTCTGTGTATATATATATATATATATATATATATATATATAAAGCTGAGATTCTTCATTCTCCATAAATTTAAATTAGCGAAAAGTGATTTTATTATTTCATAAAAGTATATTACTTTCGAAGTTTATGTATATTTAATATAAAACATAAAAGTTATTCTCGTAATATAATTATAGAAATATACATCGAAGGGAAATACATTATTTCCATAAAAAAAAAATTAAGGGTAATAAAAAATAAAATAAAAAAAATATATATTCTTGGAATAAAATAATTTTTTTGGTAAAATAATATATTTTATTGTAAATGGTAACATTTTAATAATTTTTAAAGTTCTATTTATACAATGCGACTGAAGGGAAAATCAAAATTAGATTTACGTGAAAACAAAGAGAGAGAGAGAGAGAGAGAAAAAAAAATGGGCAGAGTGCAGGAAGTGCGAGAAGTGGCAACATGACGCAAGTAAATTTATACTACAGTCAAAGCGCCTAGACTAAAGTCATGCTTTTCCTAACTGGAGAACAAGGGATCGATTTTAAATTACTTGCACATGGCACCCTGAAAAGATTTTCACACAAAACAGAGTGCGAAAATCTTAAAAACTATTCATACATTTGCCATTTTATTTTCCAATAAACGAAATGTTTTTTTTTTGCATATTTTTAAATTCTCTCGGCAATTTTTTTTTTATTAAATTTAAAATAACTTTTTTTTTAATAAAAAAAACGATAAAATAATTTTTTTTAAAATAATTAACGAATATAAAAATATGTAAATAAAATAAATTTCACTAAGTAATTAATAAATTATGAAAATAAATTATTATATTAATATTAAATTAATAAAATAAAAAATTACTATGTTTGAAGAAAAACGTGAAAAACTATTTTAAATGACGAGTGATTGATTTTTTAAGGATATAATTTTTATCTTTTTATTTTCCCCAAAAAAAAACTTTGTGTCTTTCATTCATTCTTGTGCTTCTTCAATAGAACACGTGACAGTTTTTCGTTTTGACCCGCATGAAAAGAAATTTGTCCCAATCACCTCTGATAACGTATCGAGTCGCCTTTTTATAAAATTCCCCACATCGAATCCATAAAGTTTCTGAAAAAAATAGAGAGAGAAAAAAAATTATTAATAATTCTCTTCTCTATAAAAAAAAAATTTAGTATTTTAAATACTAAAAAAGGAATTTTATTCTCTAGAGTGAAAAAAATATAGTTTTACTCCCTAGGATAAAAAAGCATCATTTTAGTTCCTAGGGTTAAAAGAAATCATTTTCGTACCCCAAGTTTGGAAAAAAGTATTTTTAGAAGATTTTATAATAGAATTTTTACTGTTTTTGAGGTAAAAAAAGATCGTTTTACTCCCTAGAGCAAAAAAAAAAAGATCATTTTAGACCTTAGAATTTAAAGAAATTATTTTATTATTTACTCTCTAGAGTAAAAAACGTTCATTTTAGTCCCTAGGGTTTAAAGAAATAATTTCAGTTCCTAATCTTGAAAAAAGCATTTTTACTCCCTAGAGCAAAAAAAGAAGATCATTTTTTACTCCCTAGGGTTAAAAATTCTCTTTTACTCTCTAGTGTCAAAAAAGAAATTTTTCTACCCTTGGGGATTAAAATGTAAACCCGCATGAAAAGAAATTTGTCCCAATCACCGCTGATAACGTATCGAGTCGCCATTTTATAAAATTCCCCACATCGAATCCATAAAGTTTCTGAAAAAAATGGAGAGAGAAAAAAAATTGTTAATAATTCTCTTCTCTACAAAAGAAAAATTTAGTATTTTACTTCATAGAGAATAAGAAGGGAATTTCATTCCCTAGAGTGAAAAAAATATAGTTTTACTCCCTAGGATAAAAAAGCATCATTTTAGTTCCTAGGGTTAAAAGAAATCATTTTCGTACCAAAGTTTGGAAAAAAGAATTTTTAGAAGATTTTATAATAGAACTTTTTCTTTTTTTTGAGGTAAAGAAAGATCGTTTTACTCCCTAGAGCAAAAAAAAAGATCATTTTAGTCCTTTGAATTTAAAGAAATTATTTTATTATTTACTCTCTAGAGTAAAAAAGGTTCATTTTAGTCCCTAGGGTTTAAAGAAATAATTTCAGTTCCTAATCTTGAAAAAAGCATTTTTACTCCCTGGAGCAAAAAAAAAGTTCATTTTTTACTCCCTAGGGTTAAAAATTCTCTTTTACTCTCTAGTGTCAAAAAAGTAATTTTTCTACCCTTGGGGATTAAAATAATAAGCGTTGCAGCTTATTTTAATGCCTTTTATTTTTCTGTGATTAATTTCAGTTCCTAATCTTGAAAAAAGCATTTTTACTCCTTAGAGCAAAAAAAAAGATAATTTTTTACTCCCTAGGGTTAAAAATTCTCTTTTACTCTCTAGTGTCAAAAAAGTAATTTTTCTACCCTTGGGGATTAAAATGAAAAGGTCTTAAAGAAAAAAAAAAAAATATTTCACGAATTGACAAAAAACGAAAAGAGTTGAAAGGAATGTCATATATATATGTCAAACCGGAAGTCACAAAAAAAAGATATAAACACATATGAGGAGAGTTTATGATGTATACATGCCCTTAGGAAATAAAGAGAGGGGAGGGGGGGCAAACGACAGCTCGATGATAGATATAGAGGGAGGGGGGGGGGAGGTGAAATCTGCTACAGTCATATTGTGAGGTCGACGAATATATATTATATATATTTATTTATATGCGAAGAAACGAGAATAAAATTCATGGCATTTTCCAACGTTGAGACGCCAGGATGTGCGATTGAGATGCAAATCTGCAACAGACATCTGAGAACAGAACCATGGGGTGCTTATTCTAACTTGACGACACTGTTACGTTATTGTCTTTCAGCTTCTCGGCTTCTACATTAGAGATGAATATTATACATATACATATATATATATTTTGTCAAATTAAAGTCAAAGTCACTTGTTTCCAAAAGGAGGAGTGTGTTTATATTTTCTTAAAATACATTTAATTAACATTATAAAAACACGTATTTTAATTCCTATTTTACCCCCCGAAAAAATACCCAAGAAGCACGTAATATAACCTCAATATCAAGGTAATATTCCATGTAAGATTCGTAATATAACGTTGTAATATTACAGTAATCTTACAGTGATCTTAAAATGTCCGCCTCAAGGTAATATTACCGGTAATGTTACTGTAATATTACGCGCTAATATTAAGGTAATATTACAGTAATATTGCAGTAATATTATACCGTAATATTAAGGTAATATTACAAGAGAATATTACAGTAATATTATGGGAACATTTCTTTACGAAAAAAATCTACCCATCCAGGGAATCGAACCCCGAACTCAAAGCACACAAGTCCAGAGTTTTACCAACAAGCCAAATTGACTTATAATATATTTATGTTATTTATGCTTTATGAATAACTCAAATCAGTCTGTAATATTACTGTAATTACAGCGTTATATTACGAATCTCACGTGTAATATTACCTTGATATTGACGATATATTACGTGCTTCTTGGGTATTTTTTATACAAAAAAATAATAATTTTTTACTTTAAAAATAATTTATATATATAATAATAATAATATTAATTTTATATATTTTTTTTTTATTTTATAAACTATTATAATTATTATTATAATAAATATAATTAAAAAAAAAACATTTTATTTTTATTGTTACAGGTTGATATAGAAGAAGCTGTGAATGGATAAAAGCATTTGAGAATTGGTGGGACAATTTGTTGATTTTTAACAACAAAAGAAAAACAAAACCACAGCCCGTAACCGATGAGTGTAAGTATACAAATTTATATATATATACTATGAGTATTGTTTAAATAAAATATTTGAACGTTTTATATATAAAGGTTGAATTAATTAAACTCGATTTCACATTGCTATTCAAAAATACGGTTTATTTGATTTTCTCAATATATAGGAATATTTTCATTTAAATTCGAGGCATATATTTGCTTGTATCGCGGCACATGTTAAAATGGAAAGAAAAATTATTGCTAATTAAAATGTATTTTATTATTATTAAGTAAACTATATTAACATATAGTATATGACTAATTATAATTGCTGATAAGGGAATTTTCATTTTACATAAAGCTATATATTAAAGACTTCTTGAGTTGAAAATTTAGAATGTATACTTTATTAATTAATTTAGGTATTAATTAATTAAATAATTAATTATTTTACTAATTTCTTAATTTATTTTTTTATTATTTTACTATTTCATTTTTTTTTTATTAATTTATTATTTCATTTTTTTTATTAATTTATTATTTCATTTTTTTATTAATTTATTATTTTTGTAATTTAATTTTTATTTATTTATTAATTTATTTATTGAAAATATGCATTTTTGCATTTTTTTTTATTAAACAAAATTGAATTCAACCGCCCATTACTATTTTTGTCTTCAATGTCACAAAAAATTTTTTTTTGTTAATTAATTTAAATTGAGTTCATTAAAAAAAAATTTCTGTTCGACAATTAGCAATTGCAATTTTTTTTTTCATTTTAAATTAAATGAAATAAGTGCAAAATCCACTTGGCCATTAAAAATCTTAACAAGATTCTCCTTTTACAAAATCAGATGAATTTCTTTTTAAAATTCTCTTTCTCTCGACTTTATTTAAGTTGCGATTCACTGCCGCAAGAAAGACACACTTTTTGAAAGTTTTAACTACTTTTTGAATTTTTACCTTTTCACTTTAATGAAAAACAAATACCCTCCAATGAATAAGAAAGAGTGAAATAAATAAATATATAATAACGCCTAAAAATATTATCAAATGTAGAAAAAAAAAAAAATTCAGAACAAATTTTTTCATTTCGTATATAAACTATATAATTTAGAAATTTTTGGTTTTTATTCTTCGATAAATAAAAAATTATTATTTTAGTATAGAAAAAAAAAAATTATTTCATTAATTTTATTTCAATTGTTTTAGTAATTATTGTAAATAATTTCAATTATTGTAAATAATTTCAATTATTTTAATAATTATTAATTAATTTCAATTATTTTACTAATTAATTAAAATAATTTCAATTATATTACTAATTAATTAAAATAATTCTAATTATTTTAATAATTTTATTTCAATTGTTTTAGTAATTATTGTAAATAATTTCAATTATTTTGATAATTATTTTAACAATTATTAATTAATTTCAATTATTTTACTAATTAATTAAAATAATTTCAATTATATTACTAATTAATTAAAATAATTGTAATTATTTTAATAATTTTATTTCAATTGTTTTAGTAATTATTGTAAATAATTTCAATTATTTTAATAATTATTTTAATAATTACTAATTAATTTCAATTATTTTAAATAATTATTAATTAATTGTTAATTAATTTCAACATGGAAAAAAAAATTTTACCTGGAACAACGATAAGTTTCACTGAAACAGCGAAAATTTTCGTTATTCTAAAGAAACGTATCGCTGTTTTAGATAAAAAAATTTTTCCATGAATTATTTTTAAATAATTTTAATTATTGTAATAATTTTTTTTGTACTCGTTTATATTAAAAAAAAAAATCATAAATATGTTAAAAAAATATTTTTTTTTTGCATTTATCGATACAGGTTAGATTGACAGGTGGCCATATGGTGAAGCAGAGGAGGTTTATCGGCAATACAAATAATAAGATGATCAATATACGGGAACATTTATAATCCAATAAGTGCATGAGGCATCTGATATGTAATTGAAAGGACCTGAAAGTCTAAAAACAAAAAAAAAAAAAAAAAAAAAAAAAACCACACAAAACGCTGAATGCGTTCCTGCATTCGTAAGATAGCAATTAATGCAGGCTTGCAGCAGTTCTCTGCTGATTTATGTTTTTTCAGGTATTGAATAGGTATTCAAAAAAACGAATTCGCTGAATCAATATTGATCCAGCAGTGATTATTTTTGTGATTTAGTAAGTTTCCCATGCTTTGGACGTGCTGTTTTTTTTACACAGGTATATATAATAGAAAAAAAAAAATCTTTATCTGAAACAGCTATATGTTTCTCTAGAATAGGGAAAATTTTTTTAGCTGTTTTAGTGAAATATATCGATGTTTCAGTAAAACTATTTTTTTTTTAAATAATAATTTAAGAAAAATTTCTTTTTTTCCAGGTTATTAGGTATATACGCAAAGAGACTTAAGCAGGAAATAATTGAAAAAAAAGCCAAAGGAATCAGTGATATTTTTGATTTTTATTCTCTTTTTTTTAATATACACCGAGGAAGAAGAAGAAGGACGAAATAAGAATTACTAATTATATATTATATTCTACATATTATATATATATATATAGAAAAAAAAATCGGCTTGTGATTTTGATTGAAATAAGAATTTTGTGGCAAAATCGAAAAAAACACTGTGGATGCGCCTTGTGCGCTAAATTTAAACGGAACATTTTATTTTTTCAACTGTTGTGCCGTCAAGGCAGAGTTTCTTCATAATGGTGAGTACAATTATTTTTTTTTTTTTATAAAAATTTTTATATCTAATTTTCATTTGAAAAAATTGTTTCACATTTTTTTTTGGGAAATTTTGTGTGAAAAAAATTATACACAAGATAAAATTTTTTTTATCAATAAATAAATAAATAATTAAATAAATAATTAAATAAATAATTAAAAAAATAATTAAATAAATAATTAAAGAAATAAATTAATAAATAATTAAAAAAATAATTAAATAAATAATTTAAAAAATTATTAAATAAATAATTAAATAAAAAATTCAATTATTTATTTAACTATTTATATAATTACATACAATTATTTAGAAAAAAAAAATATTTTTTAAAAACCAAATGCGAGCGATTGGTGAATAAATTAGAAAAGTCTAATTAAAAATTATAGGAAAAACATTATTTTGTTGCGAAATTAGATATGGTTTATGAAATTCATTACTTATTAATGACAAAGTGAATGTAATTAACATCTGAAAATAGAGAATTTTTCAAAAGAAAACCTTGAATGAAAAATGCAAATGACAAATAGACATGCATTGCCTTTATACTGTATATATATATAAACACACAGTAGTCCAATTAAAAAGGGATTCAATTACTATTCTTTTTATCTGCAAAAAAAAAAAATTATACGAGGCATAATTTGAGCTTTGTTAGTTCTTTCTTGGAAATAGTTTGATTTTTCTTGTCTCATGAGTCGTATAAAAATGCCCATCAACTTAATGGCATTTATTTCATTAATATGGATGGAAGTATAAAATTTTTTTTTCCATCTCTTTCTCTCTCTCTCTCTCAATACGAGAAAAGTTTTCATCTTTTTTTTTCTCTCTCTCTCTCTAGAAATGTTTCTTTTTTTTATCATTTCCGACTGAAGAGAATTAATCGCAACATCCTTCCTTTGTTCGTAGCGTTTTTATTAAATTAATTATGCGTTATATAATTTTTCAATTGTTTATTCGCTATATACTAGTAAAAAAAATTGATATTTGATTCAAATAATTTTGTACTTTATTATTAAATAAATATTTATTTGTTTTCAATAATTATTTGTTGCAATATATTTATTTGTATTAAATAATTATTATTTTCGCGAATTAAATTAATTTTTTATTTTTGTCAAATAATAATTATTTTTTGTCAATTAAATAAATATTTATTTGTATCAAATAATTATTTTTGAGTCAAGTAAATAAATATTTATTTGTATCAAATAATTATTATTTTCGCGAATTAAATTAATTTTTTATTTTTGTCAAATAATAATTATTTTTTGTCAATTAAATAATTATTTATTTGTATTAAATAATTATTTGTTGCAATTAAATAAATATATTTATTTGAATTAAATAATTATTATTTTCGCGAATTAAATTAATATTTATTTTTGTCAAATAATAATTATTTTTTGTCAATTAAATAAATATATTTAATTTTGTCAAATAATAATTATTTTTTGTCAATTAAATAAATATTTATTTGTATTAAATAATTATTTTTGAGTCAAGTAAATAAATATTTATTTGTATCAAATAATTATTATTTGCGGCAATTAAATAAAAATATTTATTTTGTATCAAATAATTATTATTTTTTTGGCAGTTAAATAAATATTTATTTGTATTAAATATAATTATATTTATTTGAGATTTATTTGTATTTTATGTATTTGTTATAAATACCGAAATTATTGGTTCAAATACAGTTTATTTAATTCAATTATTTCAAAAATTATTTAGTTCAAGTAAATATTTATATATAATAATCATATTTGAATTAACTAAAAAATTTTTTTTTCAGTTTTAGGAAATTTTTCCCCATTTATCAAAAATTTTCTCACATGTTTTAGGGAATAAAAAAAATTTTTTTTCCGGAATTTTTTTTTTTTTTCTTTTATTTTGCAATTGAATTTCACTCTATATAATAGAATGAAGGTCCTGAGTGAACGGTCATATATCAGATAAATTGCATTTTCGCATGACAGTATTTTTTCCGTTTTTTCACGGAGTCGTGGACTGAGTTTTAAAAAAGGTAGCATTCAATCGGAAATGCCGTCTTGCTTGGGTTTGCCGGCATTTCTCGATGGAGCGGAAATTTCCACTGGCTGGCAAAAGCGGCCAGTGAACGCGATTCTCGAAAACGTTATATATTCGAACCTACAAGTTTTATATATATATAGATAGATAGAAAGAGAGAAATACGCAAGGAGACAATAATTTTCCATTTTTTAAGAAATCAATAATTATTCCATATTTTTTTTTTCAAAAATAATTTTCAAAAAAATATTCAAAAATCAGTTTTTTAAAATTACAATACGAATTATTTTAAATTATTTTATTATTAAATTATAAAATTATAAAATTTATTTATTTATTCTAATAAAATTATTTTAATTACAATTTCTTCTTTAATAAAGAAAGCAAGTAAAATTATAAACGCCTTAAAAAATGGGAAAAAAAATTAATTTTTGTTTATAATTTAAATATAGTGGAAAAAATTAAATGGTTAAAATTTTATTTTCTTAGATTCGTTGTTTTTCACACATCACTTTAGCTTTGTTAGAGAAGGTCAGAGGAGGATAGTCAGAGAGCGTTCATATTATATCTTACGCAATCTACATTTGTACGCAAACAGACGATTTTTTTTTTTACTCTTTTTCATATATAATATATAAGACGAGAAATGAATTGACCTTAAAAAAAAAAAAAAAAAATTATAAATTCTTCAAGTTGTTGAATTTAGTCTTTATATTTTATACAAATTAACTTCAATGTCATTCAAGCATGAAGCAGAGAAATTGTAAACTTGCTCTCAATTCTTTCTTTTTTTCTTCTAAAAAAAAGTAATTATAAAGTACAAATTGAAAATTTAAAAAAAGAAAATTAAGTATTAAGAAAATAGTAAACTGATTTTTTATAAATAATTTTACAAACAAAATTTTTATTTAAATCCCTACGTTATTTTTTATTTTATTTATTATTATTTCTTTATTATTTTTTATATATTATTTTTTATTTTAGTATTATTTATTTAATATTGTTTATTTATTATTTTCTATTTATTATATGTTTATTATTATTAATTTTTTTTTGTTTTTATTTATTTTTATTTATATTTAGTATTTTTTAATTCATTATTATTTATGTAAATTGTAAGACAATTATTTAATATAAATCGAATCATAAAAGATAAACGAAAAAAAAAAATTATAAGAGAGCGAAATATGTAATGTTTCAGCATTCCTGTTGATAAGATATATATACATACGATTTGCAATTTGATTCAAAATGATTAGTATATAAAAAAAATACGTATATTTGATTCGAATATACATAAATCATATTCAATTAATTTAGTTATTATTCGCTATAAAAAAAAAGACTTAGAAAATTTCTGTCACAATTTTTTTTTCTATATTTCTTTTTTTTTTTGTGAGACTGTTCCTGGTACTGGTTATATATCGCGTGTCAAATGCAAACCTCATAAAAGCACAAATTATCACCAATCAATATATGTTCCTTGAATTTACCAGACGTAAATTATTTCAAATTAAAAGCATTTTTTAGTTTTTTGTCTTTTTTAAAATTTTTTATTTTATTTTAGTGAAAAATTAAAAATAAATGGCACAAATTAGAGCTTTTTTTCGTATATGGCAATGATTTAAAATGATTTTAAAAAATGAACGTTAAATTGATTTATCGATTCGATACAATGAGATCATGAACGACCTCGAGGAATGCTCTCTGATCAGGTAGCAAGTGATGTCAATTATAATTGATCACAATCGGGTTCAACTGTTGGTGTCATGATTTCATAAAATACTTTTTAATTTTTCACTCTATATTTTGTTAGATATTTATACAAATATAGCAGTTTCTAAATTTTTTATTCGAATTTTTTATTTATTATTAGTAATTAATTATTAATAATAATAATTAATAATATATTAACTACAATGATAATATTAAAAATAATAATTATTATTTATTATAATATATAATATAATATATAATAATATATATAATTAATATTATTAATATATAATTGTTATTACTGATAATAATCATTTATTTATTTATTTATAATTTTTGGGCTCTAATATAATAATATTATATTTATTATATTTTTTATTGTAATTAAATACAAAATATATTTTTATTAATAATTGTCCGTAATCTTGTTAAATAAATAAATAATAATTTTATTATTTTTGTAATAATAATAATAATATTATAATATAATATATATAATATATAATATATAATAATATTATTATACTATAATTATAATAATTATATAATAATAATAATAAAATAATATAATAATAATAATAATTATTATTATTAATTTACAATAGGTAAATTTAAAAATATACGAAAAATTTCAATCTGAAATTATAAACAATCTGATTAAAAAAAAAAATTGAAGTATTTTTTTTAATTAATTTTGAAAATGGAAATAAAAATTTTTCATTAAAAAAAGCACATGCTTGCTATTTGCATCTCGTGTTTATTAATATTTTCATCTTTATCTCTGTCTCTCTCTCTCTCTGTTTCTCTTAAGTTGATATTATTGTAATACTCTCGCGTTAACCTTAGAGAGATTATGTATATTCATTACATAATGATTGCTATATATATATAGTAATAAATGTGAAATTGTAATATTTCATCATTTAGCAATTTTTTTTTTATCGATATCAACACATATGTTCGTTTTTCTTTATTTATTATCCATTCAACGATTATTCATTATCTGAACTTTATAACTTAGCCTGTGGATGGAGCCACTTATTGGTTTTTAGTCATACAAACTGTAAATCATGTTTCTTTTAAATGTTTATATAACAATAAAAAAAAAAATTTTTTTTTTACCAAATTCGATTATAAATATTTAATAAAAGCGAAAACTTCCTCATAAGAGTGAAAATTTGCTTTATTAGTTATTTTTTTATAACATTTTTCGTCAGATTCAATTATTTATAAATA